TATTACTAAATTCAGAATACAAAATTCGGTCCATTCAGCAAACAGAACGTTTATTTTTCAAATCAAGGCAAAAGTTCTATGAACATGGGGAAAGAGCCGGAAAACTTTTGGCACATCAAATTAAGCAATCCATATCAGCTAACACGATTTCTGAAATCTGTAAAACCTCTGGAGAAAAGACGTCTGATCCGAAAACCATTAATGACCAGTTTAAAATGTTCTATTCCAATCTTTATACCTCAGATCCGGTTGATGAAAAAAAGATTGCTGAAACGCTTGATAGATTACCGATTCCACAAATATCGGTAAATGACAGAACAGAAATTGATAGAGAGATAACCATTAGTGAAATTGTCGAAGTAATTAAATCAATGCAAAGTAATAAGGCACCGGGACCTGATGGTTTCCCTATTGAACTATATAAAATGTTTATAGACAAACTAGCACCAATACTCAAAGATGTATACCAGGAAATATTCTATGGTTTGAAGTTTTTTTACAATTTATTTTCAGGAGAAACTTTTAACACCTTTGACGCTCTGATGAGAGATTACAATATACCAACCTCGCATATGTTTAGATACCTGCAAATACGAAGTTTTGCAAAAGCATTGTTTCCTTCTTTCCCCTACCTACCTCCTAAAAATCAAGTGGATACCATTTTGGAAATGGATCCTTTTGGCAAAAGGAGAATCTCCGCCATATACAAACTGATACAGAGCTTAAGGCCTATTACTTGGGGAAAAAACTAAAAATAATTGGGAAAAAGACATTGGGGTGGATTTATCTGATGATGAGTGGAGATCTTGTTTGAATCGTATACATACTTCCTCCCTTTGCATTCGCCATGGTTTAATTCAGTTTAAAATTCTTCATCGTCTTCATTATACAAGAGAGAGGCTTTCAAAATTTTTCCCAGAAGCCGATCCTGCCTGTCCCAGGTGTGGACATAATCCAGCAAATGAGGGTCACATGATGTGGTCTTGTCCGAACCTGGATAATTACTGGGGAAATATATTTAAAGTATTATCTCATATCAGTGCGCAGAATTTAGTGCTTGATTTCCGCATTGGCATTTTTGGAGTTATGCCATCTCAATACAAAATTAGTAAATCTCAGGAAAATGCCATAGCATTTGCTACGTTGCTTGCCCGTAGACTTATTCTATTCCACTGGAAGTCTGATAAGGCTCCTTCACACATACAATGGTTAAAGGAGGTGCTTTTCTTTTTACCACTGGAAAAACTTAGATACAGAGTTCTCTCATCACAACAAAAATTCTCTGCGACTTGGAACCCATTTATTGACTATATAAAAACGTGTTTTCCAGATGTGTGACATACGTTTTTTGTCTGTTTTTGTTTTGTTTCTGTTTACATGAGCCTCGGGTGGGGGGGCGTTCTCTTTTTTTTTGTTTTGTTTTGTTTTTTGTATAATGGCAACGTTTTCATTATGTATTGTGAAATGTGTTTATTATTTTTTACAAATATAATGCAATAAGGCATACGGAAAGACCTACCAGGGGATCGGTGGAGAAAAGAGGTCTCAAGTACATGGGATACAGGAGTAAATGGGTGGAATACCATGGACCTCTGTTGCCAGTGCACCTAAATCGCATTGACGAAATAACAAAAGCTCATATTCCTAATACCTAACCTAGCCAGATGCCAGAGGTCTTGATTCTCCCCACCTGACCCTCGAAGTACGTCGACCTTCTCCTATAAGCACAAATAGTGACACACAATCTGCTCATGATTATAGAGATAGCAATATATGGAGTGCTTATTTATCTATGTTTTAGAATGGCTCTTCATATAGACCCTAGTATTTTGGTACATGGAAGAGATGCCCCTACCAAATACACTTAGCCCTAACCTTAACCAGGCATCTTAATATCAGATAAGTGGTGTATACCTCTCCTCTCTCCTCCTCTAGTCACCTAAAGGGAACAAACCCTGATCGGGACACAGAATCCTAACCTCAACCAGAGGTAAATTAGGGATAAAAATCCTCTTTCCCCTTTTGATTTTTAATTCCCTACTCCATGATGCACAGTTATAAGGTCTAGATAGACCAACTTGAAAAGCATCTTACCTAACCTCAACCAGGGGTCCATTATAATAGGAACAGGGGTATTTGTCTCTCCTCCTCCCTCTCTCCCCTCCCCTTTTCCTCCCCTCTCCCAAAAAGCTATTTTGACTCAAACTCCCCCTAAGGGAATGGCTAGACAGATAATAAAACTCACGGCATTCATTAGACCTTCCTCCCCCACGGAGGAACTCAGGGAGGCAGTAAACCTGAACACGCAGACATGGCTACAGAATAGCCTCTCCATACTGCAGCAACATTACGCTAAAATCGTGTTAGAATATCAATATACAATATGGGACGACACAGCTTTTCAGGTGGCAGCAAATTGGATGATAAAACGCTATAAAGCTAGATTAGCTGCAGACACTCTGGGAGCTACCAGATCCTTATTGATCGATCAATTGGAGGGCTCAGACATCTCTGTTTCCTCGCCGCTTGTAGATTCTGTGGAAGAGGAAACACCGGAGGAACTAGACCTAGAGAATGAGGAGGAATTCCCACCTCTGAGCCAAGTCAATAGACTAAACCAAACCTCCCTGTATCCTGAGGTTCAGATCATGAGGAACCCCACCGCCCGGGATTCACAATCGACTCCCTTATTAGATGACCATGTACCACTACCACAATTTAATATCACCGGGAGTACTTTGCCAAACCGGGTTATCTCCCCTGTTCTCCCTGATAGCAACCAGCGGTCCACTGAGTTTACTCTTGATCCAAAACCAACAGATGAAAGGCCTCCTGCGCCATCGCGTCCTCCTCACGAGCCTTTTTGTCCCCTCTCGACTTCACATCCAGAGTTAATTTTAGGGGAGGGGGAGAGACCTGGGGGACTTGAGGTTAGGCCTGTGGCCCCTCAGACTGATGAGGATTTGTTCCAATCCACAACAAATTGGGAAAAATCTACAAATAGAGCAAATAGAAGTGAGATACAAATTAGATCCGATCCACAGAAAAATGTGATCACAACTAAGTCCCATTCACTTCATCTGTCTAAAATTGTATACTCTAATGTCTCGGTGTTACAGAACAGCCCAGAGATACAAACCTGCAGCAAGGGGTCTCAAACGACCAGCAAAACCTTTTCTTCTGCTGCCAGGGCCTCAGCTAATGACGCAGGGACGCCCCCTGGGAGAGCACAAAGCATGGACTTGAACTCCATTGGTGAAAGGAGTGTGAGCGGCCGAACGAACTTGGTGGTAAACAACTCCAACATGATGATGGGGGGGTCTGTAAACCACAGTGTGACTAAACACAAAGGCATGAAGACCCCATCTGACCACAAAAATGACCACCTGGCCGCTCCTCCAACCAAACTTGGCTCCTCCCAGGGCTTCGCTCCTGTAACAACAGAAAACAGACAAGAGAGACAGGCAGTCACGGAGGATCAACAGGTCGAAAGCATTAACCAGTGTCACCCGACGTATCATAAAGCCCGCAAGGGCAGAAAAATCATAGATTGGGTATTTCGTGCGACTCGACCAGTTTGGTTCTTAGGGGACTCCAACCTAAATCGTGTACCAGCTTACAATAGTGATAATATACAAATTGATAGTTACCCAGGGGTTTCATTTTACCATTTTCTCCAGATTCTGGAAAAGACACCAATCCATCCAGATGTCAAATTAGTAGTTTTATCCATCGGAATCAATAACAGGGACCAAGATGCAGATAAAACTTCCAACAAACAATTAAGAATGCTCTACAAAAGGGCACAATCTGTTTTTCCAAATGCCGACGTATTCTTTCCCTTAATTAATTTCTCACCTCTGCTTCCAAAAGAACAGCAACAGAATCTAACCAGCATCAACAACTTTGCGATTAAACGATTTCAGGTACTGAACCCACTCCCGGGTGATCAGTTTAATACTGTGGGGGATAATATCCACTGGACACCAGAAACAGCCCAAAACATATTGGTGAACTGGTGTAAACAAATTAATCTGGATTTTCAGTAGCTTGTTACCCTAGGCAGGGAGGGACACCGTCTATTGATCTATCATGGAACTCGAATTGTAATGTATTAAATCTATCTGAATTGTTCTGCCCCACAGAAAAGCAAGTGCACTTACTGGAACCCCACGCACACACACACACCACACACACACGCACACACACACACACACTGTACAGAGAAGACTGCATTCTTTCTAGTGGCCAGCAGGGGGCGACTCCTCTGGGTTCAACGCTGTCTGATTGTTCTGAAGTGCTCGCCTCGCGGTTTCTCAGCCACAGCCTCCCAGGTTTCAATGTGGCGATAGAAAAGTCAGTTTGGATAACTTGTGTGACTTCCTGTAAAGTTAGGACCAATCAGAGTGCCCCTCTGACCTCAGGTGTTTGAGTGTGTGTACCTTTCCTCTTAAGGACCTGCTTCCTTTCCTCCTGCAGGGTCAGTACGCTCGCTTTAAGCGTTACGTGGGCCACAGCGCACAGGTCACAAATGTCCGCTGGGCTCAGGATGACTCCACGCTCCTGACGGTGGGCGGGGCTGACATCATAAAGCAGACACAGACAAACCTTCATGCATCCAAACACGAACAAAGTCTCTGCCTGAAAGCTTCAATGCAAAAATGTCTGGATCCAGGTGTCACATGACCTCTCAGTGAAGCACCAACATAAACCCAGAAGCCGTCCCTCAGATCTGTAACTGTGTGCGTTTAAAGGCTACGACAGCGACGTCGCCCGCGAGAAGACGGTGGATTACACCACGAAGATGTACGCCGTCAGCATCAGAGCGATGAGAGGAACCAAACCTCACCAAGAGCTGAAGGAGCTCTCTGCTGAGGAGAGGTACGCACACGCACACACGCACACGCACACACGTGCACACACACGTGCACACACACACATGCACACGTGCACACATGCACACACACACATGCACACATGCACACACACACACACACACACACCTGCACACATACACGTGCACACACGCACACACACACTTCTGTTTTTTACCATCATAATGAATCAGGATCTGTATTTTGGGACGGATGCATTAAAAACATGTCGGAGTGTTGCTGGTAAAATATGACAAAGGGTCCCTTATCTGAGCGCACACTAATGAAAAACATCACATTGCAAAAAACACTAGTGATACTTCCTAATACTGCAAACTAAATCATGTAGAATACTTTATGACATTTAAAAAAATCTGTAGCTTGTTTTGTCCAAATTTGTAACAATTATTTAATATATGAACAAAATAAATCTTTATGAAAATCAGAGACAGTTGAAGAGAAAATGCTCTAAAATAAAACAAGGAACAAAACTTCACCGAAACGCAAGATGACAGGTAATAGTCAAAGACACTAACACAGTAAGACGGGACAAAGAGGGAGAAACACAGGACGTGATAAACTCGTACAAATGAAATCTTAACATCTTAATCTTTTGCTGACAGCAGCGAAAACATCCAACCAGAAAAATACAACAAGAGCTTCAAAGAAGTTCAAAATGGCTAAAGAACAGAAAATCGTAATCAAGAACTCTCCAGCCAGTCAGAGGTCACTCTGTGAGATTACATCTCTGTCCTGGGAGTGAGCTGGCAGAAGAAATCATGCAGTCGAAGCCCGAACAGCAAACCCATAATAAACACTGGGACCACACATTTTAACACAGCCTCTCAGCTTCAAGCTCCACAGACTTCTCAGGTTTCTTAAACGTGCAGGATGTCTTCGTGCTCTCTGTGATTTCCTTTAACGAGTTCTTGAGCTTTGTTTGACTTTCCAACATGTTCTATCCTCGCTGTCTGTTTCAGTGAAGGTGACGTTCCCTGTGTGCGCGCCCGTGTGCTGATGTGCTCGTGCATGCTCAGGCTTCTGCATGCTGAGTGGATCCTTCTGGCTGCGTTTGTAATATCGGTGTTCACAGTTCACTCAACAACAAAGGGCACCTTCAAGGAACAAATGTGTCTGCAGGGTCAGAAAGCTGCAGACCAAAGATCGATCTAAGCACCAACCAGGTTCCTTCTTCTGAAGACAAATGAGGTTTATTTGTTAAAATGTTACCATATTATAAACTATTGTGAAGAAGCTGAGCCTGGTGTCAAACGTAGATAGCTGAGGGGCCTTTCATATGAACTTGTTTTGAGCAGCCAACCTATCCCACACGGGGAGCTCTGGGCTTTAGGTTTTAAGTCATTGAGTGGGTGTAAAACTGATCTGGTTGCAGATTTTCACAGAGTTTAAATGTGTTTTTCAGCCCTGCAGATTTCTCCTGAACTCACAAAGTTATGACATCTCAAAAAAGCTGTAAAGATGGTTAAAAAGAGGACAAACCTGAGCCCACCCCCGTGGACCTGCAGGGTGCATGCATAAATATACTACAGTAATTGTAGAACATTAAATCAGCTGATTGCGAGGTGGCCATGTGGGAACTTTGACTGGGTTTATATGAAGTGAGGATTTTCCAGCCTGTAGAAATGGGGTTTTCCAGGCTGTGGAGTAGCAGCATCAGGTCTGTGCTCTGAGTTCATGCACAGAAGCTCCCGGTGTGCACGTCTTCTCTTCCAGCGCCTCAGTGACAGAATCTCTGACCAAATCTAGAACTTGCAGGTATTTGGAAGAAAATGGGCGGCTCCAAGTTTCAGAGTCCGGAGAATCTTTAATGATAAAGGGTGCCTGTGCTGACTGATAACTCTTGTTTTGTCCCTCTGTGGTACCCTTAGTTCCTGAGTGTTGCTGCTGCTCTCTGGCCTCGTAGAAACTCTTAATATCTCTGCTGTGTTTTAACTTGCATTCCCCTGGAGGCAGGGCATTGTCAAGTAAGTATGAGCCAACACTTACTGTGTGGATGGTCACACTTAAAACCTCAGCTGCAGCCACTTTGGATCATTTATTAAAGCCCAAAAGCAGAAATCTCTCATTTACAAATCCATTCAAACTCTTCCTCGATCAGACATAACACCACGACTCGTCGAGGCGTGGACTCAGCAGGTGAACAGGTCCTGTAGGTCCTGCTAGCTGTGGGGTGGAGCCTCCGTGGATCCGACTCGTTTGTCCGGCACATCTCACTGATGCTCGACTGGACTGCGATCTTTTAAAAATTAGAGTTAACACCTCAAACTTGTCGCTGTGCTGCACAGACCGTTCCTGTTTGTGGAGGAAGGAGGCCGCGACCTTCCTCCATCGCTCTGTGGTCCAGTTCTCATTGTTGGTGCTTTCAATGGCGGACGGGGGTCAGCCTGGTCAGCCTGACAGCTTTCTATCAGAACCAGCATGAAGCTTTAGCCCGTCTGTTGGATCGGACCACACAGACCAGGCTTCAGTCCTCACACGCATCGGCCTCCACGGCCCCGTCGCTGCTTCACCGCTGTTCCTTCTTTGGACCATAAAAACTGACCCCTGCAGACCCACACAGAGCTGCCGTTTCGGAGACGCTCTGACCCAAACTGGCTCGTAGCCTCACACTCGCCCATTTTTCTGCTTCTAACATCAACTTTGAGGACAAAATGTTCACCCGCTCTGTGTCATTGGTGTTACCTGTCAGTGCTCATAATGTTATGTTGGATCGAGTTTTGGCCTAAATATGTTCGGAGCCTGACTGCAGGTAACGTGAGCCGACTGGACACACCTGTGTTTGTAAGACCACAGAGATCACAGAGTGTCAGGACAAAACCAGCCGCCATGTTCAGGGAGCGGTCTCTAGGCTTTTGGGACAACAATATTTCACCTGATGGAAGGACAGGATGTCACTTCCTGTTCCTGTGGGACTTCATCAGCAGAGAAAGGTGTTCTATGGGGAGCTCGGCTGAGAATAGTCGGGTTTTCTTCAGAGTAACATCTATCAGATGTTTGGTATCGATGATACTGCAGCAGCCACCTGTGTCTCCCTTTGATAAACAGTAATCCAGGCTCTCTAAGTTCTCAGGTACAGGGCTGCACCTGCTGCTGTGAGGCCACAGGTGTACCTGTGCACGTTAGCCCGCTGACACGGTTAGCTGCACTAGCATGTTAGGCTGGCAGCCTGAGGATTAAACAGCAGCAGCAGCAGCATGGTAGCGTTTTGTTAGCATGTACTTTTAGCCACAGTGTCTCTGAGGAGGAAAGCCTGTGTGTGCATGTGTGTGTGCATGTGTGTGTTGAGTCTAAGTGTAGATAAGAGTGCGTGACTGTGTGTGTTTCTAAAGCTCTACCTTGGTTCTATCCCTCTGCTGTCCAGGGGATCCAGGTAACACCTGCCTGCCTGTACACGTCCTCTTCATCGTGTTCGCATCACACGCTGGCATTTCATGAAAACGTTTCAGTGCATTTTCGTCCTGTTCGGTCACTTTCATCTCTCCGTCATGCACCACTTCTCTTACGGCTTTGGCGCCTTGATGAACCGTTCGCAGCACTGAGCGATAACGTCTCGCTTCAGTAGCTAAAAACGAAAGTTTATTTGCCAACGAGGAGCCTGTGCAGACCCCGCGGACCCACGTCCAAACCAGTCGTGCTGGAGGACGATGCTGTGGTGGTGGACCTGCCCTCGTGGACTCTGACGGTTTGGTCAGAAACGTGCTCATGAGTAACCCGCTGGAGGTCACACAGAGGAGCAGACACCTGTGCAGCTCAGCTCCTGTAACGTCTGCTGGTATCTGCTCCTCCACATGTGCAGGGAGATACAGACGGTCCGTACCATCCTGGAGGAGCTGACGGGGGTGCACCACCACCTGCTAATCTATTTCCTTTTTGGGGTGGTCTCATTGTTGCCCCTCCAGTGCTCCTGTTGTCACTTTGAGTTGCACCTGTGCAGGTGAAACAGGTTCATAAGTGGATACTGAAGTTTAACTGTTGTTACCGTGACGATCGACGATGCAGTGGACCTGGTTCACTCACCGCAAAATCCTGCAATTACTGCAACAGTTACTAGAGTTATTACTCTGAATAGTAGCAGAACCTTCCTCCTGTAGGTTTCAGGTGCTTCGGCAGGTCGACGCTCTCGGTTTAGTGAAAGGTTGCATTAAACTCCGCCTCTTCCCTCTAGTCGCCAACAGACAACAAAGAGCACAGTGACGCTGTAACGTTAACAAATCTGAGTGATTTAACTCTGTCAGAAGCAGAACGGCTGCTCTAACCCAAATGCCTGCTGGTCTGAGTTCACAGAAAGAGGGCGGAGCACCAGCACACCGCCGGATCAGCTGTTTAACCCCCCGATGTGTAGTTCATGTTGTCTCCATGTCTGTGCTCCACCCGTGTGTCTCTGATCTCGTCCTTTAACATGTAAATGAATGTTTTTCTGTCTTTGACTCATCGACCGATTCATTGACACGCTGATCGATCCTCCAGGCCGCCAGTGAGCCGAGCGGCGCCGCAGCCCGAGAAACTCCAGAAAAACAACGTGTCCAAGAAGAAGCGGCCGGTCGAGGTGAGTCTGTCCGTCCGTCCGTCAGCCCGTCTGTCCGTCTGTCCCTGCGTTCACCGTCCGCCTCTGCCTCTCCAGGACCTGATCTTGGACCACGTCTTTGGTTTTCGGGGCTTCGATTGTCGTAACAACCTGCACTACCTCAACGACGGCGCCGAGATCGTGTACCACACTGCCGCCACCGCCATCGTGCACAGCCTGAGCACCGGTAACACAAACAACACACCTGAGTGACGTGCCGTGGACGAAGAGTCCTAACGTGAGGTTGTTTCAGCAGGACGGACGCACGAACAGTCGGCAGGCGTTGGTGTCCGAAAGATGTTAAAGTCTCTGTAAATGCATCTCTGCATGTGCCCCTTCTACCTGCTGCACAGAAACATGATGTCAGTGATGTAACATTTAATATTCAAAAGCTTTTATGTTTGTGAAAACGGTTTTACCAGGTAAATTATTGTTGTTGTTAAACAGTTTCTGCTGAGCAGACTCAGCTTCATGCACACCTGTGGAAACGTGTTCAGGTTGTATCTACCTGCTCGCACACAGGAAGCAAAGATGTTGCGCTCCACCGGATCTCATCCACAAAAACACGCCTCTTACCTCACAGAGCCGTTCGGCTGTGATTGGTCGGTTCGTGTTTTATGCTGCAGCCACACTGAGGTGGATGGAAGCTGCAGCACAGAGTGATCGTGGCCGAGTTCGGTGGACTTGTGATGTCTTTGCTTTGCAGATGGAGACCGGCGGTCTTCAAACTTTGGTGCATTAAGACGGTGATGAAACGGCGATAACGTGTCTGCTGTCAGCTTGTGGCTAAGTGGGCTCAAGTTGGCAATTTCATGCAGTCTGTTTGTGACAATCCGGCGATCAGCTGTGAGGAAACAGCCACAATTACACATTTGTTGCTGCACAGAGATGCACATTCAGAGTGCGGCCAAAACCTCACAGATCACGTGTCCATAAATCAGGACACGGATGCTGCAGGACGGCAGTTTAACTGCAGAATGACAGACGTGACAGACCAGGACCCGGCTCGGGTGAGCTGTGCAATCACCTTTGGATGGAAAGTGGTCGGCGTGCTGCACGCTTCAATGACCACTTACGCTCCTTTGATAACAGACAAAACTCAGCGCAGTCGTCACAGGTACACAAAGTCACAGATTTGTGCCTGGATGTTGCCATCCTGTGTTTTTTGCTTTGGGTCCAAAAAAGCACCTTAAAATCAGCAAACTCTGATTGCTGTCAGTGTCGCCCGTCGCTGTCGTGTAGCAGCAGATTGCTGGTCTCCGGCAGCGTGGGCGGAGCTTTGCACAAGAAAAGCACAGCTTCTGACGACATCACCAGAAAGAGCACCATCCATTAGAACGAAACCGTGTCGTTAGCTCACCTGCATGTGTGCGTTTGCAGCCCCACAAACACCACGAGTGTGTCCGTGACTCGTGCTGAATGAAGCGACGACTGAGCTTCAGCCAGAACTGGAGTTTATTTGGTGCCTTGCAGGTAAAACGTGTCTGTTTACGTGTCTTTGCAGGAACGCAGAGCTTCTACCTGGAGCACACGGACGACATCCTGTGTCTGACCGTCAACCAGCACCCCAAATTCAAGAACATCATCGCCACCGGGCAGATCGGTACGCTTCGGTGTTTGTGTGTGTGGCGTGTCGCTGTCGGAGCATGGCCGTGTTTTCCTCCACTAACTGTACTAAAGAGAAGTCCCGCTTTCTCTCCCTGCTTCCTGTTTAACCCGCCTGCTTTGCTTTATTTCTACTGACACAGTGGAAACTGACCGACTCACCGACAGGGAGCAAACGCTTATTGCAGCTGTGAGGCGCCACGTCGCGACAGTTTCTCCTCGAGGTCTGCGTTTAAAATACAGGAAGTGGGGTTAATTCAGCCAATCGGGAAACACAAGCAGAGCTTCACGTCCCAGAGTTTGTTGTTTTGGTATCGAACCGTAGAGCAGCCGAAGCGATCCGCAGTCAGGAACGTCGAAGCTCCGCGCAGACGCAGGATGAATGAAACGTTTTTTCTGCCTGGCTGTGACTCACTGCAGGTTTTCATGTTGTTGTCTTTGTGTGTGTGTTTTTGGCCGGCCTCATTTGTCACCATCGCTCTCACAACACCTCAGGTGACGGCGGTGAACTCCCAGGTAAACTACAAACGACCCGCACGCCTCCCATCACAGCAAACTGAAACCCAGAGCGCCCGACTCAACCAGACGTGTCGGTTTGGTTTTTACTGCTACGTCTCATAAAAACATGCAAAGAAACAATTTAAACAAAATATTTTTGCATTTTTAATCGTTTTTTTCAACAAAATGTTAACATTTATAAAAATAATATTTTTCTGATAAATGTTCAGAAATTTCATTAAATATTTAAAATATATTCATGTTATACAAAAGTTCTGTTTTTTTAATCAAAAACTTTAAAAGCTCTTCAAAATTCTACTTTTCCAGCAGTGCATCAGCATTAACACATTTTTCATATTGTCTCATATTCTTAATCATTGTTTTTTGCACACATTTAAATAAATATTTGTTCCTGGGTAACTTTGTATCAACAAACACAGGATAGTTTCACCACATTAAATGATTGAAGTGACTCATTTCTGACGACTGATGTTAGTTTGTTGGATTTTCCTCGATGATCGATCAATATGATGTTTCTGCTGCATGTTTGACGCTCGTCTCAAACTGAACTCATTCGATTTGTTTAACGAGTAGTTAAAGTACTCGAGTACCAAACGCAAACTCTTGTGCCATCGTGCTTTCCTGACCCGAACGCTCGGATTAAATAAATGGGGCGCGAGCGCTTTAGCGTGGCGGTGAAACAGCGTCTGGTTTTCAGGGTGTCTGTCGGCTGCACCGACCCCTCTGTGTCGCTGTCGTAGTTTATCCCTCTGTGGTCGTGCTGACGCTGCCTGTGGCTGTAACGGCGATAAACACTCGCTCGTCTCCACGCAGGAACGACCCCCTCGATCCACGTGTGGGACGCCATGGGCAAGCAGACGCTGTCCATCCTCCGCTGTCCGCACAGCAAAGGCGTCGGCTACGTGAACTTCAGCGCCACGGGAAAGCTGCTGCTGTCCGTCGGAGTGGACCCTGAACACACCATCACGGTGTGGCGCTGGCAGGAAGGTCAGAGACTTTCAGCGTGGTTTGATTCGCTTCCCTCTGTGGTGGCAGTAACCACGGTAACCACAGCGTGTCTCCTCTGCAGGATCTCGAGCGTGCGGGAAAGCCGGACACCCGGACCGGATCTTCGTGGTGGAGTTTCGGCCCGACTCGGACGCTCAGTTCGTGTCGGTGGGAATCAAACACGTGAAGTTCTGGACGCTGGCCGGCGGCGCGCTGATGTACAAGAAGGGCGTGGTGGGGACGCTGGAGGACGGCAGGATGCAGACGATGCTGTCTGTCGCCTTCGGTGCGGTGAGTTCGCCGCTTCGCCCCGGGGCCCCTCAGGAGCGTCGTCCAGTCGAAGCACGTAAGCTGACCGTGTCTGTGTTCACGTTTGCAGAATAACTTGACGTTCACAGGGGCCATTAACGGGGACGTGTACGTGTGGCGAGATCACTACCTGCTGCGGGTGGTGGCGAAGGCTCACACCGGGCCGGTCTTCACCATGTACACCACCCTGAGAGACGGACTCATCGTCACCGGTGGAAAGGAGAGGCCGTGAGTCACACGCCGACCGCTTCACCTGCATCGAGAACCATCTTCATAATACAGATTTTTTTAAAAGGATGTTTATATATGATGTCATGAAAATGGGACCAACCATGAGTTTGGAAGTTTTCTACTTCCTGAAAGCTGCCAATTCTCTGTGGACGGACGTCGCCACAGAAACAGAGATCAGCTGATCTCTGTGTGATGGCCTCATTCGTGGTCCTCTGTTTAAGCTGTCTCAGACTGCAAGCTCCTTTGCAACCCAACCTCCTCTTTCGTGCTGTTTCTAGTTTTTCAGTTTTTGTTTTCTCCTTCGTGGAAAAAATGGAAAATAAAAACTGTGTGTTTGTGCGTCAGGACGAAGGAGGGCGGAGCAGTGAAGCTCTGGGATCAGGAGATGAAACGATGCCGAGCCTTCCAGCTGGAGACCGGGCAGCAGGTGGAGTGCGTGCGGTCGGTCTGCAGAGGCAAGGTGAGACCTCGACATCCTTTCCCCGCTCCTCCTCCTCCGCCATCACCCGTCCGTCTTCCTCATCGCCTCGGCCTCTCGTCTTCCTCAGGGTAAGATCCTGGTGGGGACGAAAGACGGCGAAATCATCGAGGTCGGGGAGAAGAACGCGGCGTCCAACCTGCTGCTGGACAGTCACGCTCGGGGGGGAATCTGGGGTCTGGGCGCTCATCCGGCCAAAGATCTCTGCATCACGGCGAGCGACGACGCCACCATCCGCCTGTGGGACCTCGCCGACAAGGTCAGTGATTGGAGTCCAGGCTCTTTAGGACGTAGGTGGTGGATGCTGGGGTGGAGGAGGGCTAGAAACAGCAGGCGCTGCTGCAGGTTTGCGTGATGTGGTGCAGCGAGGGCTGGTTAAAGAAATCTTCTCTCTCTGGTTAGAAACTGCTGAACAAAGTGTGCGTCGGCCACGCGGCTCGCTGCGTCAGCTACAGCGCAGACGGAGAGATGCTGGCGGTGGGGATGAAGAACGGCGAGTTCCTCCTCCTCCTCTCCAATTCGCTGAAGATGTGGGCGAAGAAGCGAGACCGCAGCGCCACCGTCCAGGACATCCGGTAAGAGAGCGAGCGCGGGAGCGAAGAATGAAAGCGCTGGATGTTTGTTTGACTGAACTCTGTGCGCAGCTTCAGTCCGGACCGGCGGCTGTTGGCGGTCGGCTCCGTGGAGAACACGGTGGACGTGTACGACGTGAGCGCAGGGCCGACGCTGAACCGGCTGGTTTACTGCAGCGACATCCCCGCCTTCGTCCTGCAGCTCGACTTCTCTGCTGACAGCTGCTACGTACAGGTACACCCACAGCTGGAGGTCTCTTCCTGTTAGACGGGGGCTCTTCCTTCCCACAGTCACCAGGTGCTGTGATACAACTGCTCTACATGTATATGTACACAAAAAACACACACACCCTACAAAACCCCCGGGCCATCCTCGGTCCAGCTACAGATCACACACACACACACACACACACACACAGACAGACTCACACAGACAGACACACATAGAGACACACACACTCGTTATGCTGACGCGTGCAGCACAATCTCACCTGCAGGTGTCCACCGGAGCTTATAAGCGGCAGGTGTTCGAGGTTCCTTCTGGAAAGCTGGTGAGCGACCCGATCGCCATCGACAGAATCACCTGGGCAACGTGGACCAGGTAACGCACAAACACGGCTCATGGTCGCCCGCTTGACCCCCGAGCTAACCCGACAACGAGCCGCGGCGCTGACTCGCTCTTTCTGTCATCTCTTCTTCAGCATCCTGGGAGACGAAGTTTTGGGGATTTGGCCTCGAAACGCCGACAAAGCTGACGTGAGCTGCGCGTGTGTGTCTCACGGCGGCCTGAACATCGTCACCGGCGACGACTTTGGATTGGTCAAACTGTTCGACTTCCCCTGCACAGAGAAGTTTGTGAGTTTGTGGCCACGTCTCATTTATTCAGTATTAGCTGTTCGGAGGTAGGAAAGGAAATAAATGAAGGAGTCGAGGAGTCGAGGGCTTCATGAGCACTAACGGAAAGAAACAAAGTCACAAGTTTGAAGTTAAACTTTTGACCTTTTGATCTCTGAGGATATCAAACTTCTGCAGCTGAGGGTGTTTGTAGGCTCAGGTTCAGTTTATTCTTTGTAT